CAAGTCCTGAGTCTCCCTTGCACGTTGCACACATTTGAGCCACGAACAGTGGGACCCTGATTTCGAGCCTTTCAGTTCCTCAGAACATTGTATGAAGCAGGGAGAGCTTCCTATCGTATTATCAGGGCGTGTCTGATAAAGAAAAAATCGCAGCAGTGTGCAAAACTCTTCACTATGGAAGACGCTGATAATTTAAGACTGACCTACAGATTGGACTGGAATTGGTCGGGACACACCAAACGACGCGGCATATATGATTAAAGTAGATAACCTGGCTGGCATAAATTGAATGGAATCATTTGATGGCTCTAATGATGAGTTAGCCGTTCGTATAAGTACGATAATCTGCCGCATTCGATGTTACACTTAAAGCCAGAGCGAAAAGCGTTCCATCGATATGCTTTGTTGTTGGATGTGGTTTTATTGTGATGAACTGGACCGGACGCCAGTTGAAATGTCTTATAAAATTTACAAGCCCTTTAAACCGGAGCGGGACTGAGCTAAAAACCGTTTGATTCCATTGGGCTACCCACTGCAAATTCGAGTTGCTAACAACTCCGAAAGGCTGTCAAATTAATTAATTAACTTAATTCGTCAAAACATGAGCCAAATCTAACATAGTCCAAGCTAACCTTGCCTGATTTTTTAAACTAAATCTGCATTATATGGGCGAAGCTCAAGTTGCCAATGCCGGACAAACGTAGTGCGGCTCAAACTAATTTAACCGCACCAAATTTAAGCGAACAGGGCCCAACCTAGCTTCCCAACTCACCCTGACATGACACGGTCAATGTGCTGAACCGCATAAATTCGCGAACACAAGATGTTTCTTTCAGAGCAGATGCTTTGCGATTAAAACGTACCCTAATATTGGAGTTTGAGTGATAATTGCTTATCCGGTATTATTGATATGTTAATAGCTGCGGAAGGCAGGTCAGTTGCTTAGACGTGCGACTGCGTACGCTGATCTGGGAGGCATTCAAACTGTTTGTTGAGTCGATTGAATCTTGATTCAGTTTTGTTCCAGTCTGAATCCGTACCTGAGCTCGAGCCGATGTATTTGGAATCCTTGATCATTTTGGTTATGCCGTTACGCAAAAGCAAGTGACGAGCAGTGTCCCTCCTTTATCCCAGCGACGCAATCAACCGTACGCTAATGCCAGGAAACATAGAATCATGTCGCGGCGCTCTCAGTTAGGAAGTGGAAGCAAACGTAAAGAAGTAGACGAAGAGGTGGTCCACAACCGGCACCATCCGTGTTATGCATTAAGCATGACAAAACATAGAGGAGAAAGCTTAATGCAGTCATTGCCAAGCTCAGCTAATGACGGCCAGCTAAAAACAAAACAAAAAAAGAAGAAAATACTATCATTCATTCATTGTTAGTGAGCTTGAATCAGTTACACAAGTCGGAGGGGCAGTTACCTGACCAATTTCATGCCGAACTGGACTATAAAGGAAAACACTCCTCAGCTAAGCGGAGCTTGCCGCTGAGTGCACTTCCGGAGCGCGTGAAATCATGGTACGCTTTGTGCTCACCGGGGCTCAAGTCTGAGGCTTGGTCCGAATCCACCGTTTTCAAATATATAAGCCCGGGTCCGAATGATCTTGAAACAAATCGATGACTTGAACTCGATTCTCAAAGGACAGGAGCGCGGACTGGAGCAGAGTTCAGTCCTACCCGAACCCCGGCCTGGATGCTGTGCGGCGGGATTTCAACACGCCGCACTGACGTCATCAAACCCGACTCAGGACACATACACCGGCATCCGTAGCCGGGATCAATGTCCAGCAAGGTGTCACATTCAGAGGGCATCGACGTCGGTGTTTGTTATTGGGCGGCGCTGCTATTGCACTGCTACACGATGCGGCGGTGAACTCCGGAGCCAGGTAGCAGCGGTCATCCATGCAGTGGCGGCGCCGTGCTGGCACGGTGTACCAGCGCATTTGCCTTCAGTACGGACGGTGTTCGCGGCTGGCTAGATTCATTGCAGGCGGGCTAATACAATAGGGCGATAAACTTCAGGCATTATTATTCATATTCTGCAGCTGGTAATTGAAGGGTCTCGACCCAAGTCGGCATGGCTATATATCTGCGATTCTTAAGTGCAAATGCACGATTCCGTACTAACACCACGTAAATGTATAGAAACGACGGATGATACCGTGCAAGAGCGCGGTAGCAACTTCGTTTCACGGCTACCGG